ACATATAATTGTAATCCAGTATCACACATCTCATACAATATTTAATAAACATATACATTTTAAAAATAATAATACAAGAAAACATCACTCTTCATAAAATACTCTGTCAAATGCTTTGATATGTTTCAGAAATAAAAACTTGAATATTTGAAAGAAAAAAAAGTCAAGGAAAAGATGAGGAAAAAATTAAGTAAAAAAAGTAAGCTAGAGGTATTGGCAATGTTTTCTTTTTTCAAACATGTTACACGTATTGGCAAGTTTTATACTTTGAAACGGGTGACTAAATCACCACTTAATTAACAGAAGAAAAAAATATATTGATGCAAAAAAATTAAAATTACAGATTAAACTATTTTACACTTTGACAAATGAAAAATATAACAATAGAAAATATTCTCTAATTCCACTCGTTTGTTTCAATGTGAAGAAATGAAATGCATTTTATGAAACAATATATTAAAATCAAGTTGGCAAGAATTTTCGAGCATGTCTAAGTAGTATTTAAGACAAATAAATTTAAGAATATAAAAATATAGATAAAAAGTAATCTCTGATATATCACTTTTTATAATTGAATAAATGACTAGAATTTAGGGCCAAAGTAACAACCGTCAGGCCAGAACTAAACTAAAAAGAAAACTAAAACTTAGTAATTGTTGAGTACAAAAATTAACAGAAAATGGGACATCGTTTCCTCAACAAAGTGATATATAAATAATTTTGACAAAGTTAATAAACTATAACGCAATTTTGTACAAAAAATATTTACATAATATTATATAAGCTATTTGATTAATCAGATAATAACTTATTTTATGCATGATGAGCAAATAATTTAAAGAAGTATAAAAATAAGACGCTTAGATTATTTAGATTAATTTATGAAAAATTAGTAAACAAATGACACAAAAGTGATTTGGACTCTTAGAATTTTTAAAGCTTATAAGAGTTGCAAATAATTTTAAGTAACATTTTTTGATAAATTTAATATGTAATTACAACTAAATTGAACAAAATCAGCCACTTATACAATTAAAAATTTAATATACATAAGCGCTTGATGCATTTAAATTTTTGGACAAATAAGTAAAATATTTTTAAAGATGAAAATCTCATAACAAAAAAACTATTTAGTTGAAAAGAGATATGACAATACTTCAAATGCATTTTCTTGAAGAAGGAAAAAAAGGTTAAAAAATACATAAAAAATGTATTATTTTGTTTTCTCCTCATTAACAACTAAACTCAATAATGATTTTACATAAATATAAAAAGAAAACATAGACAAGAAAAGTAAAGCCATACAACATATAACGAACAAAAGTATTTGTTTGCTATTAACACTAATATATATGTACATTTATATCTATATACTATTTATTTAAATACATAACTATATATACAAAGATATATACCCTTATATCTTCATTTAAATTTAACATTCTCTTTGAAGATTTCGATTGAGGATAAGCAAATTATACATATTATATACACAAAGTCAAATGTGATATATTTTTTTCACTTTACTTTTTTTTCAAATTTTGGAATTAAGATTAACTCAGGACTTACAGAAAACAATTATGAAAATAATTAATTTCTAAATAAAAGACATTTACTTGAATTGTTTGCATAATTAGAACTTGATTTAAGAATACAAATTGATTTTAATTAAACTATATATGCAAAAATTACAATAAGTATGAAATATAATGAATGAATAATAACATCATTATGCATTATATTTTTTAAAATCAAAAAACAATATTCAAAAAATAAATTAAAAGTTCTTATTTAAAATTTAATAAAATACTACACAATCTAGAAATATAACAAGTTTTGCGTAAGAAATATAACAAGTTAATATAATAAACATCCATTAAAAAATAAAACAAAATTTTATAGTAATTTAATGTGTTGGCAAAAATGCACCAGTAATCAGCAAGTAACAATTTTAAACTAATATCTCTGAAGAAAAAAAACAACTTAAGTATCAAATTCTAATCATTTCCCACAGAAAACAACAAAATTCACTTTCAAAATAAGTTAGGAGTTTTATAATACAATAAAAATGAAACAAATATGAAAAGATTAACTATAAATACTATATTTAAATAAAGTTTTGAATAAATAATGATAATTTAAAAATACACAAGCAAATACTAAGCATAAATTAACAAACAAATAAATTAAATAAAAACACTTTACACAACCATCAAACTTAAAAATTCCTAACTAAAAACGCTTGTGAGATATCTCCAGAGATCTAAATAATTATATATATTAAATATATAATTATTTACTAAATCTCAATAATTATATATTTTGATAAATCTCAATCTTTAATCAGTGAAGGGATGTTTCATACCAAACACTAATGTAAAATCACAATAAAGCTTAAAGTTTTGTTATACATCTATAACTGTACACCATATATAGATATACTTAGAGATTTTAAGTACCAAGGTCTGTTACTTTTTAAGAATACTACCAGAGTCATCTTTATCATCTCTGACGGCTGATATCATCTTTTCCATTACAACCGCTAGAATTTTATCCAGTGGATCCATGCAACCCCTTTGCATCCACTTTGGAATTGTAACTCGCGCATGGGCGAACCCAAGTTTTTGTAATATATAATCAACTCCATATGGCTCAATTCCTTTACCAGCCCAAGATAAGAGTCTGAAATAATAAGAAAATTCCGATATTAATATAAATAAAGTTAAACATGAAATAGACATGAAATCACATTGGTTCTATTACGAAGCACCTTCTTTGGTTTTGGAAACACAGAACGAAAGACATTCAGAAATGTAAAGGAAATTTCAAACAAGTTACAATAAAGAAAAAAATTGACCTGTAGAGTAGGGGAACTACATATATTAAAATTTAACAGTTAAAATTAAAATAATTACTGTATATAACGGCGTATAAGTTAAATTTACAAGATCCTAAAATTTTATGAGAACCAGAAGGTCGACTTATACACCAGTTATAAAGTCAGACATTCATTGTGAAATGTCGATGCATTACAAACAATGGGATAGATATGAATAACTCTGTACCAATTTACCAATTCCAAAAACTATTTTTAATAAGTTACGTTGAGTGAATAATGTATTTTCTCACATCAAATTTTCTTTATATTTTAAGTTTCTTCAAAAACAGTACTTTATGTTCAGAAAAAAATTAAGAAGAAGAAAGGTTAAGATAACTTTTTTGAGTATTTCAAAAATTATAACACAATGAAAACTTTTAAAATATACAATAAATCTACATATTTAAAGATTTCCAGGGCATCATCAGCGTCGGATACAATAACATTAGCAGTGTCATCATATGGATCCCACTTTACGTTCTGCAATGGATGCTATATCATCTTCACCCCATCCCAAGAGTTCAAAATTCCACACTTGTTAAAAGATTTTACAATGGCATTTAAATTCACATTTTGTAATGAGCCTAGTATTATTTGACGAACGGCGTCCATAGGAGCAGCGTTTAGAAGCATTTTTGATTTTGAACTTGGGATGATTGGATACACCAGGATACGAGGTATTTTTGAAGATTTGCAAAGAATGAGATACTTGAAAGGTCATTAACCCCTCAACGATCGGTTAATTTTCAAGTAAACGGTCATAAAAGTGCCTATTGTTTTGGCTTTTGTATTTGTATGACATATTTGATTAGTGCTGATATCTAGCTTAAAATAAACTAACTATCTACAATTACCTTAAATATATCCTGGTACTGCCACCTGGTGTGTAAAATGAGAAATAAAATTTTTTCTGGGCAAAAGAAATGAATTAGTATTATCCTTATTACCATTCCCAAAGACAAAAAGCTCAAAATCATTAAATAAAAAAATTTAAAAAAAAAATCAGTTAAAGTTTTTATTTCTTTAATTTAGTAACAGATGCCAGTATATTTGTAAAGTTAAACAACAAAGGAGTAAGGGAATCTCAAAAGTAATCTGTTAAGTACCTAACAGTAGGCTCCAAATGCCATGTATGACATTCATACATTCTCCAATCCTTTTGAAATGACTCTGTTGGATCAGCCATCTTTAATTTTTTATCACTATCAGGCGAATGAGATTTTCCAAATGTGCTAACAACTGCAAAAGAACAAGTGATTGATTATGAATATGAAGTGAAATAAGATATATGCAACTTGCCAAAGTAATGTTCTCTCCGTGAACATTAATGGTTTTTTGATTTTCTTCTCATATTATAAAAGAAGTTCTGTTCATAGAATAAATTTTAATCAAAGCATCATCGTTAGTTAAGTATGATTTTTAAAAATTAACTTAATATTTCTCATTTTACTACCAAACCTATACAACTTACAAATTAAAAAAACTTTAGAAAATGATTTTCGGTTTTGTATTTTGTTTGTTGGCGTTGAACAGCCCATCAATATCCAATTTGCACCTAGATAACTTTCAACTCTATAGTTTGGTATTGAAAAATTTCCAAAATGCAAGGGATTCTTGGATCATGCCTTGAGACAAACTCACCTTCATAACAGTTGTTGTACTTTTAGTGTAGTTCATTTACATCGCACAAGAGATGCACAATGGGCTATTGATGACGGTCTTGGAAACATCCCAGAGGATGATTCGAAGACATGCCATCACAATTTTGATTCTGAGCAGAGAGGATGGTAGCCTGATGACCTTCACGTGAAGTCGAGCACTTTACAGTAGAACAGTTTAACGAGGACCAATACTGCACACCCTTGGTCCCTATGCAGACTAATCCAAGTGGTCACTCACCCGCACACTGACCACAGCCAGTGATGCATGGACTTTGGTGATCTGGTAGGAACATAGCGGATCTTCATAACAGACTTATTGAGTGAAACTAAACAGTTTAGAATTATAAGGAGAGGAAAACCACAAAAACATCTCTTGAATAGCTTGAGAGGAAAGGAACTCTTACCTACAATCAGGCTACCACTGGAAGATTTTTTACCAGCAATGTGGCATGTGTAAGGCAGGAGCAATATAAAAAATAGACAAGCCATCAACAGAATTCCAAAACTCGTTGGGAGGTGAGCATTCTATCAATTGAGTAATCCTGGTTTTTTCATTTTGTTATTGTAAATATTACATTGATTAAAACATGGAGAAAACACTAGAAAAGATTAAAAAAATTCTATTTTTTGAATTCTGCCAATTTTTTCCTTGGCTTAAAAAATATGACTTGTTTATTTTTTATTTTACCGTGAACAAAGAGCAAAAATACTGTCATCATATATTTTAATTCAAATAATATATGTTTATTACAGATTGTGTTTCCAACTTTTGCTTTTCAGACCATTGAAGTTCAAGTTTTGGTTTATACAATGTGACTTACAATAAATAGTATATAGTATAAAGCCATTAAAATAATATAAAGGCTTACATGGAGTAGAATCAATTAAATTTTTATATAGAGTATTTAAAAAAAATCTGTATTCATTTATACTTATTAATATCACNTTATACTTATTATTTTGTCCAATCATAATAAATTTTTAGTTAGGGTTATAAACAAATGTATACTTAAAGAGTTTACACAATTGAAGTTAAAAATGAATATTTAATCGAAGATTTTTTAGCTTCACACCTTTCCTCCAAAAATTTATTACTTTTAGTTTGTGTCTGAAATTTGTCTTAAACAAATTCAGATTGTTTAAAACTAAAAATAAACCTCTTAAAATTAAACAATTAATTTTGTTTGAAAAAAAAATACAGCTCATAGTATTTTCAATTGATCATAAATGAGCATAAGATTTATAGAACTTGTGGGGGGAGGAGTTATTATCGACAATGCCAACCTTCATCTATCAAGAGGTACCTCATGATTGAATCAAGTTAGCATGTCTTATATAACAGTGAATTGATGTTTAATAATCGTAGTGGTAGTTATGCCACAATACTCCCCCACCAAAATTTTATCAGGGATAGAATTCGATGAATGGATACCACTAGTTGCTGTACTTGTGAAAGATCGGGAGAGCAGGATTAAGGTCACCGGGTTTTTTGAGTGCTGAATGTGAGAGGTGTATTAACTTCACGGTCGTAGTCGCTCCTATGTTGCCTTTAGCAGTCGACTGTATGCAGGCTGACGTTGTGTATGATCGAGACGAGACTGAACAGCTACAGTGCGAGGAGGTGGATAATGTCCCAGTCACAAGTAGCAGGTCAACTGTTCAATGTGGACCATCCATCAAAGTAAGCGTTATTGTCTAGGTAGGCGTGTTCACGTCAAAGTGGGCGCTTCAGACAAGGCAGGCGTGTTCACATCACGTCCGAAGGTCACCAATGTGGGGTGAGGAGTTATTATCGACAATGCCAACCTTCATCTATCAAGAGGTACCTCATGATTGAATCAAGTTAGCATGTCTTATATAACAGTGAATTGATGTTTAATAATCGTAGTGATAGTTATGCCACAAACTATTTGGTTTTAAAATTCGTTCTTAAAAGTTAAAAAAAGAATGACAAATCCAGAAGCTGTGGCGAAAATTGCAAACCTACATTATTTGGAATATTGAGTGAAAAATGGTTAAATAATATCTCATTCAATCGCTATCTTACTGTAATCATCCAAAACAATAATATCTTTATAAAAATACAGTATTCAAACTGTTAACACTATGAAAAATCGTTTATAAACTGTTTTCCTCTAGTAAGATATTAACAAACAAGAATTTTATATATGTGCCATGTAGGCCCACCGTATCAAACCATTTAGTTCCTTGCAGAGGAGATGTAGACAAGCTATTGTTGAGAGGGGTGATTGGACAATCTCAAAACCTTACAGAATGAGAGTTCGAATCCCAGAAAAAACATCTTAATATTTCTTACATTTCTACAACATATGGAGAATTTCCAGTTTCTCACACTCCCTAATTGATGCCTCTGATTACTAGAATAAATATAATAAAAAGAAAACTTCTTTCTAAAATAAAATGTCTAGTATTTCCCATTGCTCACGATAGATGGCATTACTCAATAATCTAATATCTCTGTATATTTACTGAAAAACTTTTAGGGTTGGTTCTACAACAAATTATTGTAGTTTAGTAACTGTAGCAATTTTGTAGTGCTTCAACCTCCAAAATTCTGTGGTTTATTTTTAGCTGAGCATAATTAAAATATTGTGCACAATCATTTTACTTAAAACAATAAATTTAGATATCAAAATTAAAAATAGTCCAAAAGCGATATTGGAAAGCAAGGGGCGGAATGAGAAAATGACATTTTTGTGTTTATATTCTTGTTCCTTTTGTGATTTATTAAAAATTCTAAAAAATTTAATTTGTCAGAATGGTCCTATCTAAAAAAATGGTATATGGAATGTTATATTAATTTAAAACAAATTAATTTAAATTCAATACTAAAATAATGAAATTTAACACATCATCATTGAATTGCTCAGCCCTTGTGGCCCAACCAGTAGCTAAGAAATAATTAACCAAAAAAAAAAAAGAATTCTTTCTTACAATTCTAATCAAAAGAACATTTTTTCGTTAGAATTAATATATTTGAACATAAAAAAATCAAAATATGTGCTTAAAAGAAAAAAATTAATGAATCAAAATACATATATTTATAGACTAACCTTCCTTCTCTTTGATGTAAGATGTTATTAGATCATGCAAAAAGAAAAAAGCTTCAGCATCAACTGCTACAAATATATGATCATCAAATTCTGTGACAAAACTGCAATCAACTGAAGGTTTTGGTCCTACAAATCATACAAAATATTTTATCATTTTGCAGACAATAATTAATTAAAATACACAGAAAAACTCAATTTTATACAAGCAAAATTCCATGTAAGATGTTACACACCTTATAATTATCATCAGAGCACCACACTCTTTTTTTGCAGAAATAAAAATACTTGAGCAATATAATTTTTTTTTAATATTATAATTTTTTTGACTCATAAATCATTTATCAGAAAAGTTTTCATTAAATAATTTGCATTCTTCAAGAATTTTTATAAGAATTTTTTTTTCTATTTATTGTGAGAAATCTCAAATATTTTAGATTTTAATAGATTTCTTTTTAACCAGCCTGCAATGCTTTTTACAGTTTATGAATTTAGCTTTATAATGAAGCAAAATTAAATATCTTATGAAAACATAACATACCTCCAACAGGTACAGGCCTTGCAGGTTGTAAATGCTCAGTTTTCAAATGTAATTGCATACTAGGTAAGGCAAAAATAACTTCCATATTGTGGTTAAATTCAGGACCTTTGGCAGGAACAGAAATTCTGCGATCTGTTGCACTGTCACGATCATGTTCGAATACTGGAAATCTGCCAACATCTAAAAAAAGTGTAATGATGAGCAATAAGTACTACTACCGTTTAATAGTTGATTTAGCACAAATACTTCAATAAATTTTCTTCTTAAAACTGAAGGGTATGTTTTTTTAACTGCTTATAATTTTCAAGGTATCTGCTACATTTTAGATTTTCAAATTCATGACTTTCCATGACTAATTTCAAGAATTTTTCATGACTTAATGAAGTTACTATTTTCTCCGAAAAACACAACAATAATTTTAAAAAAGCATTATAATAACATTAATTGAAATGATAGATATAGCCAAAACGGTTAGTCTTCATATTTATAAATTTTAAATTTAAAAAACAGTAAAAAAAGAGTTGAAGCAATAAAATAGCTGCAAAAATTACAAAAGCAAATACTTTTTTTCTTTCCTTTTTTTCTGCAGAACTATATTCTAAACATACTTTTCTTGTTCACCGGAAAGGAAAGAAACACTCCTGATTTTTCTGTTCTCATTTCGGAATTAAAAAAATCGCCAATGACTGGCTTGCTTCAGCTAGATATTGAAATTGATAAAATAAAAATAAATAAATAATAACAAAAATTCTGAAATCACAGAAGTTTAAAAGATAATTCGCCCTAGAAATGTNAAAGAACACCATAATTTTTAAAGAACATGATAAAAACATTTCATATTTTAATAAAATATGACTGCGAGTGGGTGATTTTGTTACAAATTTTGAAATTCGGAACACTTTTAAATGGGGGGGGGGACTTCCATTTTAAAAATTAGATTTCTCAGCAACCTAAATCCATGACTTTCCATGATTTTTTTAAACAATTAAATTCATGACAAATTTTGTTCAAAACCGAAATTCATGACTTTCCATGATTTCTCATGACTTTCCAGGTGCTCAGATACCCTGAATTTTAAAAGCAATTGAATAATTAGCATTAAAAATATTGCTAATAAATCACTATATATCCATCACATCATAACAAAGGTTATTATGCCTTTCCTAAGCCCTGAAAATACTGTGGCAGGATGTAGCACATATGATAACAAAAACGAAAATAAAGCAACAGAGAAGGGAAATTACTGTAACAAAACCGAGCAAATTGTACAAAATTGTAAAAATTTTAAATGAATTTCATAAAACGAAATTGCAAGTAAAATCTCTGGAGTCTTTAATCAAGAGCGATCCTTACATTAACATTCTAATACTTACGCTATTTCCATAATAAATAATAACTATACAGAATAATACAGAAATACATACAGGACCAACACTCAGACTTTTA